TGGTTATAAGGTATTCACAATTAATCTATTGGATGTAAAATTGGGTGGTTGTATTTATTTTATTAACGAAGCTCAAAGTTCAAAAGAAATTTTTTCGAACTTTGTGACATATCCAACCTATCAGATTTCACATCGGATGGTTGTAAATAATTGTGATCTTCCTGTACCAAAAGTAAAAGGTCTTATTATAAACCATCCATATACTTTATTGTCCACGTCACCCAGATCAAATGAATGGCTCCATATTGTGTATTAACTAATGTAAAATCTCATGAGGGGAAGTGATATTCATAGTCTCACAAATGATTTTTCTGGACAGGTCGACATATTCTTCACAATATTTTTGTGTGTATAACAAACCACCTTTACCAGTTTGGCTAAGACCAAACAAAGTGAATATATAGATCATCGCTTTTTTATAGTCATAAGGATCATATATTACTTATTCATCTCACACTAGGGCAACTACTTCTGTGCATCATGCATATATCATTTTAGATTCTTGTCGAAGCATATCAATATCCTAAGAGGGAAAGTATACCATGATTCGTACGTTTATGTAAACCGTATACTATAAATCCTGAATTTGTAATGAAAGGGTATCAAATTATGGAAGGTATACAAAGAAAATATTTTATCTTTGATACAAAGAAATCATAATCACTTTTGTCCAGCAGATTTCAAATCAGGTGGCTGTAAGAGTATCATTAAGTAGACTCAAAATTTAAAAAGAATTTATCGAACTTTGGGATAATTTTAAACCATTCAGTTTGACATCTAATGGCTAAAACTAATTATAACTTCTTTGTAATAAAGATAAACAGTCTCACGGTATACAGATCCACCAAATTGACATTTACACACACACACCTTGTTCAATCCATAGTCATTAGTTGCATATCATCCGATCCATTGGTGCAACTGACAATGAGTAGAGTCATGTTGTATTCTGATGAGGTCCACTCTCTCTGCGTTGTTGACCAAGGGTGATAACACTCGTCTTCCAGATTTTCCATTATCATACAGATCACAGATTTTCCATGGTCATATAGATCATATTATACTCTTTTTCTATATGGTACAACACATGCATATTTACTTTTCTTCTTGTGCATCAAGAACAAATTTTATCTTTTAATGCTAATGTGATCCGAGGAGATAAGAGGTTTCCTTTCCCTTTCTTGATTACGGCTTAGTTTTCCTTTTCTATCCTTCCTGCACTTTTTGTTTCTCTTAATATTATTATATCAGTAAAGGATTTTGCTGAAAAAATGGAGTTTAATATAGCTTATATTTCAACAAGGAATGCCACAAGCATGAAATGTACATTAGTAATTCTTGAAATAATAGATCTTGCCAAAACACATACTTTCTATACTCTCTAAAATCAAATACAAAACCTTTTCACTCAATTGTTCCCATGAATAAAAAAGATGACCTTTCAAAGTCTTAATAGATACAGAATTTACCAAAGAAATGTAGAATCAATTTAGAGGGCAAGCCAATGTATATATCATTTAGTAAAAATATAAACGAAATGAAAGATATACTTATTTCCTTCCTTAGTAAGAATGAAACTCTGGATGTCATGCGGCACCTAACAACCTTGAGGCTTGAGCGCCCTAGCCTAAAAGCCATTCACACTCTTCTTTTCCAAATTTATCATAATTTATCCAGGAGGAGAGAGAGAAAGCGTTAGCATAATTTGTACTGGATGGAGAGAGAGAGAGAGAGAGATCCTAAGATGGAAATATATTGTGTTTTCAATATTCAAATTAGTGATAAATTTACAATATCAAATATCTTATATTACATTTTAATTGCTTTTAAGTACCTGTACTTCTCAAAATAGAGATCCTATTTATACATATACAATGTTGGTTCCCCAATGATATTAGATTACGAGATATGACTTAATTTTGTATATATCTTTCCTTGAAAATTTAGTGTGCCGTGAGATCATATGGCCTTCTCATAAGCCCGTTAAGCAGTAATAAACTCAAATTGATGGATTAATGTGGGAATTGGGAAAGTAAATGAGTTAGTGCTCTGAACTTACACTGCAAGCATCTTCAATTCAAAATTGAGTTCAATAACAACCTATGGACTCTAAGGGCATGTTGGTAATTGGAAGCAAAGGATTCTTTGGAACCTGGATGGCAAGGAGGAAGATAGTGATAGCTTATAGAAGGCCATTGGGCATACTTCACTTCACCTCACCTCAGGTGGTAGGCGCTTTTTCACCACCCTCTAATGGTTCGATGTTTGAGCAACTGGGCTAAATAGACCTCTAATTTCTCGGCCGAATGACCCCTTTTCATTCATTTTAATGGGAAAAAGTTTACATGAGATTTTAATCTATAAAAGTAAGGTGCATCTCAAAAATGCAGTAGAAAAGAGTGTTCTACAGTTGGAAATTTTTTTATTGACCATCTCGACTTCGAGGTGTATATTATAAAGCCAAAAAAAGAATTTCAAGTTTAAAAATACTTCATCTTGTAACAACTTATCTAGAGCTTCTGACTTTCAAGATTTTGAAATGTTTATAGGTATGATCAATTTATACCTTTTTCTAGTTTTTCAAATTTTATAGTTAGAGTTGCATATGATTTTCAAGCCATCATAAGGCTTCTGACATCAGAACTACATCTTCCAACAAAATTTATAGGTGTTGCCTTAGAAACCTCACCCCTTTTAATATGCAAAAGTTAGGTCTCTAACCCTGTTCAATTTCACAAATCCAACATTGTCTAAATTGAAAATTAAAGCACATTTGTTAGCCCACTCTCTCTCTCTTTACAGTACCAAGTCCCTTTTTCTTCAATCTTTCTCTCTCTTCTGAAGAAAGTCTCTTGTTTAGTTCAATCATTTTCTCTCTCTCTGTACCAAAGCAAGGGTCTCTCCGCACACTACGTCTCCTCTCTTCATTTACCAAGGCATGTTTCTCTCAACTATAAAGAAACCTACTTCAAGTAGAGAAAAAAAGTGTAGTAGGAGATGAAGGCTTGATTTGGGATAGAAAGAGTGGGGAAAGAGAGGGAAACTTGGTTCGGTAAAGAGAGTGATGAGAGAGAATGTGGGTAAAGCAGGGGTTAGTATGTTTAATTTAGACTTAATTGGGTTTTATAGGTTGAACAAGATTCAAATCATTTTTTTATATATACCAAAAAGAGGAGGGGGTATTCGGCAACGAGATACTCCTGGCCACTGGATTTTACATCTAATAGCAAAGGTTGATTGTGACTTCTTTGTACAAAAACAAAAATGATCTAATTATGTACTTATTGTGCTATCATTGCGTAGTCTCCTCACATTAGTCTATTACATCTTAAGTTAAGTGGACCAGACTTTGGGAAGGATATTTTTAGGAAAATGGTTTGATAGAGCTGTAGCCCTACCAAATAAGTAAAGCCCCACCTCATAACTCATTGAAAATTAGAATTCAAGTATTAAAAACCCTTTATATTGATCATCTCGTCTTGAACATTTTTTAAAAGAAATTAGGATTTAAAGCTCTAAAAATAATTGATATTATAACAAATTATCTAGGCGGTCCATTTTGCCCTAACAATAAGTATTCATGGATCCGCAACATTTGTACCATTTTTTTAAGTTTCAAATTTTATTGCTGGCATTAGAAATTGATTTTAGAGCTGTCATGGAGTTTTCTATTGCCAAAAGTACTTTCCATACAAGGATTTGAGATGAGGCTTTATTTCATTTTCATAGAACTTCATCCATATTTCTAACACATCATCAAAATATAAATATATTGAAGGACCAACAAATGCCAACTTCCTTTACTCAATCAACGGAAAGTTCCCCTCATTATTCTTAGGAATTATTCAAAGAAACCAATATCAAATGGAAAAAAAAGAAACCTAAAATGAGTGAAGGATGAGGAATCAAGGGCACTTAAGTTTGTTTCCACGAGTACGAAGATTGGCATAACATGGGCAAGCACCCTTGTTACCATAGGTTCCTGGTGGAACACAATGGCACTTTGCACAGCAACCCCGACAAGTACGTAGGCATATTTTCTTTCTTGATGCCTTACTACATCTCCTCTCACAAGCAATACCACAATCTGTATAAACCAAACAAAACAGGAACTTTTCCTATAAATAAATAGCCCCTATTTATTGTATTTAGGGAAAAAAAAAATTCAAAATAATCTAAGCTTCTGTGGGAAACTCAGGAGAAGTTTTTGGGCCCCCGAGGTTGGAAATATAACAACTTCAATCCAGCATCAAACCTCAATTAATAATCATAATAATGATTAAAATAATACTAATGATAATAATAACAACAATAATAATGATGATGATAACAATGATGATGAAAATAATAATACTTGACTGGGGTGGGTTGGGCCAAACCATGTCACAACTTGATCCATGGATTGTTATCATTTATCAAGGGAAAATTTTAAATTTTAGTGAAAAAAAATGATAAAGTTGCTCAACTCCATTTCCATTAAACCCATGATAATATAGTGCCCAAACTTAAACTTCAAATTTTAGTAAGTTCTATATTTTCTTTTTCAATTAATGTTCAATTCATGCTTAGCGATCTTAAGTCTATTGCATTTGCATATTTTCCTGTGAGAAAAGAAATGATTTAGAAATCACCACCAAGCTCTTACCCATATAATCTTTAATATGTCCTAAGTAAAATAGTAAGAGCGTGTATGCTATATGCTCCTGCGGAGTATAATGTACATTGACTCCCTTGGTCAGATTGTTTACTCGGGAGAATTTATTCAATCTGAAAATTTAGAAACTTCCTAAGAATTACGAGATGATCATTCTCAAAAGAGAAAATTTGGATTTTGAGTTTTTGAACGGTTAGATCTCATCCTTTAAAATTTGGTGGGTCTCTACTCAATCTTGAAACATTATTTCTTTTCGTGTATAAAAGGTGTCATTAAGATATATATTTTTTTATTGAGGTTAATCTAGGGGATGAAAAAGGTTACATCCCCAAAATTGGTGTCCTATAGCTTATTCTAGATGGTATTGTACCTGAGGGAGTAGATCAACATTTACTCCCATAGGAGTATAATATCATCTGGTAAATAATAAAGCCCAATACAGTAATTTAAAATTGGCCAATCAAGCTGTACAGTAAATGCAAACCGGCTAGTTATTGCATTAGATATACGTACTTATTTTGGGAGAGGATTTTATTTTGTGATACAAGTTTTTGTAAAGAGCTTCATCACCACCCTTGGCTTGCACCTGTAAAATACAACTACAATGCCTTCAGTCAAACCAATGCTATACAACATTATGATCAAATTTTATAAAGAAGTAACACAATTACCAGATTACCAAGAAGAAAACCATTACATGCTTAAGCACACTGCAAAAATAGATCATTTTGTAAACTGCAAATGACAATGAACTTACAGGGAGGGGACCCTTGCCTTCACTAAGAGAAGCCTCTGCAACAACCTGCACAATAGTTTATTTGTTGAGAGAGAGAGAGAGAGATTATAAATCATGCTTGGGATTATTGTTTACCTGCACAAGAAGAAGAAAGAGGAACAGGTATGCTGCTGGGAGCCTAGCCATTACAAAGGAAATTGCAGGGAGTCACAGAGACATGTATGTCATTGCTAACTCATAAATAGACCTCACCAGGGGAGAGAGAGAGAGAGATTACTAGATTCCAATAAAGGCCGTTCTCTTTCTTCTAAACATCATAAATACCCTTGTCATTTTCCTTTGGTTGATAGAACAACACACTGGAACGAATTTAAACCATTCTAAATTGATGATATAGCATGTTCCCCTGGGAACAAACTGTAAACTTACTCCCTCTGAGTGCAAGAGTTCTTAGAAGGCTTTTTTAAATGTAAAATTTTGGGATTCACCGAAGAATTATCCGATGATTATTTTTAAAAATAAAAAATTGAATTTTGAATTCTTAATACTTAGATCGAACTATCTAAAAGTTTAAAAATCAAAAAATGTTTTTGAATTCTTACTAATTAGATGTGACTATCTAAAAATTTAGAAATCAAAAATTGATTTTGATTTTTTAATACTTTGATCTGATTAATCTATAAATTGGATGATCTCTATTCAGTCATAGGATGTTAACTTTTACAAGCACATAAAGAATGAATGAATTGTTTTTTCCATTTATTTTTTATTGTTTTGAGACCGGCCTCTAATCTCCAGATTCAAGAGATTACATCCCCAGAATTTTGAGACCTAAAAATACAAAAACCTACTTGTCCGGTGTTCGATTTACCAGATAGTGGGGTAACTTGGAAAAAATAAATGCCGGGGGGGAGGGGTGTGCCGACAATAATTTGAGAAAAATATGTTCCCATTTTGTAATTAACCCCCCCCCCCCCCCCCCCCCCCAACTATTGCCCACCAGTAAATTTCTCCAAATTTTATATAGCGTCTAGGCTCTAAACAATCAAATTAGAACTTACCTCAAAATTTTCAGTAGAAGAGGTTGTTTTGATGCGCAAATATCTTCAAATTGATCATCTCGACATCAAGATACATGGACTTGAGAAAAAAATAGATTTCAAGTTTTGGAAATAATGCATCTTGTAAGGCATTTTTGGACCATCAATTTTTATGTTATTCAAGTTTCATAGATTTGCTTGATCTGCACTATTTTTTAAGCTTTAAATTTTATAATTAAAGATGAAAATATATTCTAAAGCTAGACAAAGATTTTCAATATTGAAACCACATTTCTCGCCACTATTTGAAGGTGGGCTCTAATTTGATTGTTTAGAGCGTCAGCTCTATACAAACCGCACACCCTAAAAATACTTCTAGGTTAAGTTCTATCCGGGGTAATAAATGGATGAAATGCTCCAATGGAAGCATAAATTTTTTTAAACTTTCTCAATTTAGAAACAAAGTATGGGTAACTTGTTGATATATTAAAATGTGCAGGTTGAAAGAGCCCACCACAAGGGTTGCTTGTGTATTATTTGTGCCCATGCCAGGCTGTTGGGTCAGATGTCTCATAAATAAAGAAAAGGACAGGAGAAAATCTTCAACATGCATCGATCTTGTAATGGAAAGAAGACACAGCCTCGATCTTTCTTAGAATGCCCAGAGAATTCCTGGTCCCATAGGTGGTGATAATTAGGGGAGTCCTAGTGCTTTTGGCACCTTAATATTGTGTGCTAGAGGGCACAGTGGCACATGTACCTGTGCCCGTCAAGAGGCATCTCATGTCCCACCACTGTCTATCAATAATTGGAGGGTGGAGATTGTATGGAGCTCGTTCATCGCCATGAGCTGTGTACGTGCTGATTGTAGCGGAGAGGTCCCTCTCGTGTCAATGCAATTTCCATTGAACTAACGATGAGGAATGGACTCAAGGCATAGGTTTGTTAGGATAGTAGGTACCACGATATGACGACTTGATTTGAGTTTCATGTAAAGTTTTTTTTCAGTAATCGAACCCAAAATACAAAATAAAAAACATAAAAAAAGATTGTGGATGCCACCTTTTAGGACAGGACATAATATTTGCTTGAGAACTTATTCATTTTATCTTTGAATAGAGTACCATATTTATCGGCATCGAACATACTTTCTTGTGATATTTCATCATTAGAAAGCATTGTTTCTTCCTAAATTCCTTGCCCTTGCTCTTGCTCTTTGGCTGAAAATGTGGCTTTGAAAGGGAAGACAAATAGACCATGGTTATTTCTCATCATGTCTTCGAACAATATCACAGTTACAAGTAAGTATTTCATAGCGCATGGGTTAGAGTGGTTATGCGAATATGATCATGGTTGATTAGAGATATCATGAACATAATCCACATATATAGATTGATCCCAAAAACAAATGTGCAAGTCAATATAAGAGGCAAGACTTGCAAAAACCTGGTGGTCTTTTGGTCATTGCTAAAAAGGTGAGGATGGGGTCACAAGGTCCCCATGGAGCAAGCATCCATTTCTTCTTCTTTATCACAAACGTATTGGCTTTTATGCTTTATAGTGGAATCAAACAAATGGGTGTGGTCCCACACGTGTGGAACTTTTTTTAGTGGGAATCGTGCGTTTTTACACGTGAGAAGATAAGAGATCAGAGTGTAGCGTGGTTTCATCCCATTTGCCCATCATTTGATGCCACGTCCTTTTCGTTTGTGTGTTGGCTCCCAATTGCTACATTTGGAAAATTGACACCCCTTCAATTCATTCTTTTAAGGTTAGGTCCAAATATGTGTAATATGACAATCAGAAATAACTTTTTAGAAAACATAATACACGGTTAAAAACTGATTGCAACTAGGGTTTCAATTTAGTGCATGTATAGCGGATGTTGAAAATAAATGAATGGAAAAATAATAAAAGATAAAATCCAGAATGAAATATTTGAAGGAATTTAGGTGTTACTTCAATAGGTGATAAGATGAGAAAAAGTAGACCAAGTGGGTTAATCATGTGCAATGTAGACTTAATACAATACCGGTTGGAAGGTGCGATTTGATTCAACTAAAAAGCTCTAAGAGCAAAAAAAATGCCCAATAAGACATTGATGGAAGTAGTGAACAAATATATGGTAACATATGATCTTAATAAAAGTATGACCCTTTATAGAGAGCAGCATAGCAGAAGAACATACATTTGGCCAACCGCAAGTGGCTAGGATGATGATGATATCATTTCATGTACAGGGGACATGAATGAACATCCCCGCTGCATACTATTAAGCAAAATATAAAGATGAACTCACTTTCTAATGGCATACTTCATTAGAATAGTAACTCATCTCCATCTGCCATTAATCAAAGAAAATGTACGGTGGATTGCTAGTGTGCATTTGTGCATGTAAAATGTATCATACGAGCAACATGACTTCAAGGCATTAGCTTATAGATGGGATTGATTCATCATCATCATCTTCATCAAAGCCTTTTCTCAACTATTTAGTGTCTATCATTCCGCTCCGTTAAAAGTCCTACCCTCAATGAAGCCACAAGTTGCCATATTGTTTATCAATACTAAAAAAAACATACCCCTTGTCTTTTTTTAGCATTTCACTTGGACCAACTCACACACCTAACAGGTGTTGTACTGGATTTGTGCTGCACATGACCAACTCACTTATCGCTGAATGGAGAATTTGTATGGAGAATTTGTGCTGAACATGGCCAACTCACTTATCACTTAATAGAACCACACCTACGTTCACCTGAATATATTCATTTCAAATTCTATCTCTTAATGTCTTGCCAATTATCCATCTCAACATCCTCATCTCATCTACACTCGTCCTATTGGTAATCCTGTTGACAGCTAGCTTCAACTAAAGCCTCCAATATGAAAATGAAAATGGGAAATGGTCTCTGCTGATCAATCCCCTTGACGATGGATTGAAAAAAAATCAATAATGAATACTTTTAAGAAATGTTTTCTGGATTAAGAATGATAAACCAGGTAAAATGGTAACCAAATGAAAAATTTTCACTCTAACATGATGTGCAAGCTTTGAAACAACTACGGACACACTTTTCAGACTTTATGGACTCACAAATAAGACAAAATATACTCCTTTGAATTATGAGATGTACTCCAGAGATATCACGAAAATTGATCACCGTTCCTCTCACATGTCTTAGTTATGCCTCGTTTTACCAGCTTGAAAAGAGGATTGCACTTTCTTTTGTACAGGTTGAACTTAGAGGAGGTAATGATATGAAATAGGTAAAAAAACCATAGCACATGATGTGTCGTTAGTATTAAATTCTTGATTAATCCAAAAGCCTCCATAGTGGTCTCAAATCATAAGGGATCCCTCAGATTCTAATCAGCAGACACAACAGGAACAGTAACAGCAAGCACAAATGGTCCTCATACTGATTCATTCCATTAGGAAAACAGAGTTGCAGGTAGATTAGTAGGACAAAACCAAAACCTGGAGTTAGATTCAAAAGACTTCAGTTAAGGAACCATTCTAATCGTCTATTAAATAAACCACAAAGACCAAGAAGCAACTAACAAAAAATGAAATACAGTGCAGGACTCAAGAGTTCTTATCTACAAAGAGAGAACGGTGGCTTCTTTACCCCAACATCCCTCCTCAACATAACAATTCTCTCACACCACGCCAGAAGGAAGCCTCAATACAAGATGCCCACCCAGCACACTGTCAGTAAAAAAAATGGAGCTTCAGAATTAGGGGAGGAGATAGAGGGAAAGTGTTACAAATGAATTTATCTCTGTTTAGAGCACCCACCTCTGTACATAATAGTAGCAGAAATCTGCCAAGATGAATGTCTGAACAATTTCTGAAAGGAGAACCATAGAAGGCCATAAACCATGTCCCAGAGCAGTCAATAGATATCCACGACTGTCCAAAACCTGTAACAAGAAACAAGTAATAATGGAACACAACCACATGCTAATTATGTACATAGAAGACCTCGCATGTATGATATTTCTAGATACCATCTATTGACTTCGACTGCAGTTATTTTCTCCAATAAATTTGAGGAAAACAAGTTAGCAGAGAATTGGCTTAGTTCCTTCTATTGTGTGCCTTTCATAACTTAATATGACCACCGACAACAGTTTCAGTAATGGAACTTACTGATAAGTAAGAATCTCAAAAGAAAATCAGGTTGAATGCACAGGCATGTCAAATCTGATAGGTTCAGTTATAATGTTTGCTGTCTAGTATGGGAACAAGACTGGGCACCCATACCCTGGCCAATCATACTTATCAATCATAGCTTTATTTTCTAAGATAAGCATCATGAAAGTATGAGTTTGCAACCACTATTTGTGATCACATGATTCACTAAGTTGGTTTTTCTCATAATTCAAACTATAGAGATCTCTGTTATGTGGGGAATTTTTTTCAGAAGGGAAAGTGTTCTTTATAATACATCTATGCCTAAAATTAGCTCACTTTTTCTTTACTTTTTTATTGTTAGAGAATTTTCATTAATAAAAAATGATGCAAAAGTATGTGTATATTCCACTGACATCCCTCAACTAACATGTTACTACTCTCCTTTTACTTTGACAAAGTGTCTTTTGTGTTTAATAAAGTGCAAAGCGAATATACAGGCAGTCGGAACACAAAATTATGGTGTACAAGTGTTTTGTACAAAATGATTGCAAAAAAATAACAAAATTCCTATGCAAGACTGGGGACTTATGTTCATGCGGTTGAATGAAGTGCTCCATCTTTTGCAAGAGAATCAGCAAATGTGTTTGCTTTTCTCCATCTAAAAGGCACTTGTACGAAGCAACAAGATTTGATTGAGGATGGGTTAAAGCCCTACGTGCTGGGGATCGTCTTTCTTGTCCAATTTATCACATTCATCAGTTCCCCCTGACCAGCAGAGGGGATTCCCAGTTCCTCTCAAACAGTTTGAGAACTCCAAGCAAGGCCAGGGCCTCGGTGAGGGTAGAGTCCAGCAGCCCGATGGGACTGAATAAATAAGTAATGTTTTAGCAAAGCTGTTCCTGAATATGCCGGCAATGCCACCCAAGCAATGGATGCCGATAGAGCTGCCATCAATGTTTAGTTTGATGGCCCCTAGGGCAGGTGGGATTCAAAGTGAAGATTGGGATACAGTCATTGGTTGGACTGGAGTAACTGTTTCCAATGCTACTCGAAGTCCGCCACTGAAAATGCACAGAACTCCTTGTGACTTTGAGCCCAAAATATTACCATGCACATGATACTGTGTTAGCATATGAGTGGAATTCTTTACTCTCAAACTATCCTTCATTTTGCTCAAGCCAGATTGTCCCGATGATTGCCAAGTGGGAGGCTAACCATGGAAGCAGAACCGAAGAAGAGGAGTGGAGGAAGTGGGCCAAAAACAGTTGTTCGAATGTTCCGGATGTTGTTGCCCAAAACAAGATGAGGAGGTCTAAGATGAAATCCCATATGACATCTGCAATGAATGAATATAGAGGGCCAATGGAGTCCCTGCTGTCCTTACACATCATGCACCTATTTGTTCGGTAGTTACCTACATATTGCAATTTGTCAATTGTGAGTAACCTTTTGGAGATAACAAACCAATTAAAGGCCTGAACCTTTGGTGGGGCAGGGGCCTTATCAAATTATCTTGTCATTGGCTTTCCTGCAAAGGGAATCATCATATGGAGCTGCTCCAAACCTTGGAATATCTGTCTTCTGCAGAGGAGCATCTCCAGCATCTACTCTGAGAGAGAGAGAGCGAGAGAGAGAGAGAGAGAGAGAGAGAGAGGACGACGTGACTAATCGTGGTCGTAGACTCCACGTACCGTACTAACTACCTAACTTACTACGTAGTGTTATTTCGCTACTACGACGTACCTACGTTAGAGT